CACACACACACACACACAAAAAGCCCTCATTCATCACTGAAGTCTTTTTTAGTTTGCTAATGAGCCAGTGTGATTTTACTTGTTTTGCAACAATAATAAAAGGGTTTGTTTTTGAATATATATTTTACTGCTGTTTTTTATCATCACTGTTGTGGAAAAAAGTTAGAAAGGTGCTCTTCCAGCCCATGGCACTGGCTATGTCCTCAATGTCCCTGTTAAACCCAGCGCAGTTCCTCACAGTCTGCTCCCAAAACTTCTCAGAGCTGAAGAGCTGGTACAATCCGGTTAGAGCACAGCACAACATACACGTGAACACAAATGAATTTGAACACAAGAAAAAAACAATAGACACTAAAGCATTATTTCTGTATCATCGAACAAATCCAGTACTTTACCGTTGTCCTCACCGTTTTGAATCTGCGTGACGTCTGTGCCAGCAGTGCCGTGTCTTTCAGCTCGAGGCAGTACATGATTCGGAGCATGATGTCATCAGGTAAACGCTCCAGGTAATCAAACTTTCCTTGGCACAGTGCTGCTGTGTAATCCAGGATCCTTTGCCCAAAAACAGCACCGACTTCATCTGCAGATGATAAGTCGACAAACACAGTCCTTTCTATGTCAAATTATAAACCCAAACAAGATTCAGAAATAGGTTAGAAAATAATATTATCAAGAACTTCATGGAAGTGGGAGTGATGATTTCGATGAAGAAAACTTACACTGTAGAGTTTTATCATTTTGGAAGTCCTGATGAGATGTCTTCTGCTGATTTGGGGGAAGACCTCGGCATTCAAGTCGCAAAGAAATCCTCCATGAGGTTAGTATTACCTAAATTTAGAGGGGAAAAACAAAGATGGGACTTCAAGACTTTAATCCAGGAGACTCTCTTGAAGTAGTGGCTACAAGATGCCGATATGCTACTGGAACAGGGCGAATGATTTTACTAAAACATCTTGCTATTAGCTTGTTATTTGTTAAGCATAAATATTAGAAAATAGTAGCAAAGCCATATTTAAAGCTAAATAACAACGTGAAAATTAAGCTAGCCTCAAATAGAGGGATTGTTTTTATAAGCACGCTTTATACAGTTACTCCTCGAAAGTCTGTTATATAAATAATACATAACCTCGTTTTTGGTAATGACAAGTTGAAAAAAATCCTTTTGAGGCGGCGGACCCTGACCACTAATTTCAAACAGTCTATCCCCAAGTAAAGACGCCATTTTGGACGCAAAAAATGTTGCCATGACAACTAAAAAGCAACTAAAACTGTCTTTGCACAACGACTCATGAAACGGACCGATTGCTTTATCATTGATGTTGGGTAATAACAAAAAGTTATGCGGGGCATATTAATTTTACACATATGCTTGTTTCATATATGTCTGTTGAAGGGGGGAGGAGGGGGGTCACGACCCAGCGGATTGATACTTAATATTTATGACAAGCTAATGTTACCAATGACTTCAGTGATTCAGCGACTGTCTCTGGATGCCTACAAAAATAGTTGAATTGTCTTCATTAGAAACCCGTCGCTTTGTTTCGAAAGAGCAGCCGATCCAGTGCTCGCGCTCGCTTTGTTGACTGAAAGCAAGCAGATACAGAAAATAAGGAGAAAACTAGTCCCGGAGCGGATGAATCACGCGGAGGTATATTGCGGTTGTAGGCCCCTCAGCTGATGTGAAACTAGCAGTGGTAGAGAGAAAAGAGGAGCTGGTGCACTGTCTGTTACAACTACAACACTGGAACAAATAGGTAACAACATTATACCAAAAGGTAGACATTTTCACTGACATTTAAACCTGTAGTCTTTTGGGATTTTGACAGTATTTAACCTCGAAATACATCGGAAGAATGGGTGTTGCGAAAATAACTCGAATCCCGGTCCTGCTTTCCTGTTTTTTTTGTGTCTAAAGGTATCAGGGGCCATTTCTTTTTGCTAGTTAGCGTTTACTTGCTAACTGCTAGCTAGACAACTTGTTAATGTTTGGGAAATTTTGATCAAAACTTTATCATAAACACTGAATTGGTGCGGTGTTGCCAAAAACGCTGTTTTCAACACAAATCATTTTAACCATCCTGTCGAGCTGGCAAAATGTTAGCCATCGACAACAAGGCTCGCTAACGTTAATTAGCTGGCATGCCAAGGTTAGCTGGTAACAGCTATAACGCTCTTGTTTGATTAAACATCGTAAGCTGCGCGACAGTCCTGTAGCTGCTAATTCGGTCTCGACGGGGTTAGTAATGTGGTGTTACCTCGGCTCCCAGCTTAATTGAAAACAGCGAGGTATTTTAAAGCCAATAGCCGGCTGTTTATTTATTTTTTTTGTCAGCTTACTGTTTGCGAGAGAACGGTCATTGAAGAAACCCTCGCTGTGGCTAGGCTAGTATTAGCTTGCTAATGATAACCTAGCCGTGACGCTTTGAATTCTGAGCAAGGTACTTTAACGGTAGTTGAATGAGTTGTTTGGCGTTATGTGTCCCATTTACCCAAGTCTTAACAAGAACCATGCGCTGTGTTGGCACGCTGTTTGTTAGTGGCCAACTTGTCTTCCTGGCTAACAGTAGCTAAAAGGCTAGCCAGCGCTGTAGTAGTGAGAGGGAGGCACTGGCCTTAAGTCAGCTCAGAAAATATTGTTAGCCATCCTTATAGCTTACCAACATTAGTTGGGAGTCTGTCTGTACATAACAATTCGCGCTGACAATTGCATGGAGAGTGTAGAACTGTATCAGCGTCGTTACATGTCTAGGTGACAGTTGTGTATTTTGGATTTATTTACCCCCATCAATCGTAGACGGTGAGCTTGCTTACGAAACACAAACGTATTTCTCTTTTCTCTAAACTTGATTGTCAGCCCCCACCACCACACACACACACACACACACACACACGTACACGTACACAGAGCTGTGTGTCCTGGCAATCTGACTGCCAACTTAGCTTGCGTTAGTTTACTTGTAGCCTGCTAGCTCTATTACATTAAACCGCTGTCGAAAGACGGGTCTTGTCGATGTTGCCTTTTTTCGACGTGAAGCTAATTTCGGATGAACCCGATCGTTATTCGCCAGTTGGAGGGGCGTATTTGCCATTTAGTAAGCATTATGTCGTTTCGTAACCCAAACAAGCTAGCTTCTCAAATGTGACAATTTGTTTGGCTAGGGTACTAGCTGAATAGGTTGACACACCGGCACGCCAACTACGCATTTCAGTGTAACCGTTGCTACGTTAGCCAGCGTAACTTTAACTAACTGCTGGTCCGCAGTTAGCAAGTCTTCTAGCGTTTTCTCTTTTTTAGATTCAAGATGTAAACGCCACAAGCTTCGCTTTTGGATGTGTGAAGCTTTTCTGTATAAATAAACCGATACGATGGAGGTATTGTTAAAATGTATGGGGCTTGCTAGGATATTAAGTGGCTAAACATGCTAGCGTTAGTCGGTGGTGGACAACTACGTCAGAAATATAGGCCTCTGTAAATCATGGGTATAAAAAATCGGACACTTCAGTTCTTGTTTTAGTTATGTGGTAAAATAAACTGGGTCGATGGTCTATGTGAGGCTGTAAATCATTTGATGAGCTTAACTAATACCATTATACTCTAGTGGGGAACACCAGTTGTCAGAATGGACGAATAACAAAGACTAGGATGCACTGTCAGTGCAGGCCTAACATGGCCCAGTGAGCTTGGCAAGTGTGGCGTATTTTTATCATCAGTATCCGTGATATCATAGTTTAACTTGTGACTTAAATAGTCAGATGCTTTTGAAAAGAAAATTAAAAACATATTTATTTAGGGATTCAATGGTTTTTGTCTAGCAAATAATGAAATCATCTTCCTGTATGTGTTTAGATCAAGTTAATCAATTGTCTTATCAGTACTGTCACTTTATTGACTCCTGTGAGTTAGATACATGCATTCACTTCTAATGTTAAAAAGAAAACTTCTGTACTATTCTGATCAATTAAACTGTTAAGATTGTACTGCACCCCTAACACTAAACACACTGGATCAGATATATAAATTTTATACAATGCTGTAGTCATTTTGAAGCATAATTGCTGTTGGCAGTTAGTTTAGGACTTAAACTGAAACCAGAAAAGAATTAAATTATAGTCTACTGTATTGTATGTTTATTTTAATTAGGCTGTGACCTTGGTTAATAATACACAAAGGAATCTTTTGCTGTTGTAAGGAAATTGTAAAATGATCCTTTTGATGATTTTAAGTATGTGAAAAGGTTCCAGTAGTGCTTTCTGACAAAGATTTAAAGGTACCAATGTGTAAAAATGTATTATACTGTGCGTAAGTAGGGTACTTGATGATATTCATGGAGCACAGGGAGGGGGAAAAACTAAAACATTTCAGTAAAATTTGATATTGGCAGTAAGGTTTAATATTAACAGCACTGCTGTATTTTACTGAATGTTATTCAGAGAAGTATACATTTTGTTATGACTGTTATTGAGAGATTAGGAACACGAACTGTGCTCTGTGCTATGATTTAGTTATTTTTAACGGGTCATATTGGGCCACAGTAATATAGTTAGCATAAAGTCTTTAAAAGTTCTTAGTTCCCCGTTTTTGATTTTCAGCTGTGAGGGGATGTAGTTACTAGCATGTGGTGTTGCTGCCAACCCCCACCCAGATGTTGTATCTTCATGTACAGTCTTGAGAAAGTTTTGCCACTGATCATCTCAAAGGGGCCAGAGTGGTGAACCTGTGGTTCAATGATACGCAATCTCAATAGATGGCAGCTTATTTTAAACCACAGACAACTTGGTGGTGATGGTGAGAGGGTGCAGGTTTAAGGGTGGTCTTTGTATTTTGTTAATGTTCTTTTGTGGTCTCTTTTTCCTTTATTACAGTGAATGGTAGTGTCTAGAAAGGGTATGTCCCTTCAGGAGAGAGGTGCCAATGTCCAACCGGCCTAATTCCAATCCAGGGGGGTCACTGCGCCGTTCACAGAGGAACACTGCTGCGGCCCAGCCACAAGACCACACAGTTGCTGGAAGGTGAGTGTATCTGCATCCTTACTGTCCAGTTAAAATCAGAATATTTAAAAGGCAGCCGTAGTTTGTGGGCAGCAGTTGTTGAACCTTTCTTGAAAGAGCAATAGATGAAATGATGTTTCGTAGAGGGGAATTTGTATTTGGGTTGTGTCTCTTTGTAGTTAATTGGTATTTTAACTTGCTGAATGGTAAAATTGTCCTATGTAATCAAAGGAAAAGCTTATCTTTGTTCTTTTGTCATAGTCGGTAATTAACCCTCTTTTAGCTTTATTTTTCATTAATCTCCAGACGTGATAATGGCCAGATTATATGCAGAGGGAGACAGGCAAAATGATTTGGAGATTGATCAAGTCTCTTTATAAGTAACTTAATCACAGACACCCACACTGTTACGTGCTCTTTAATTTCCAACCTTACAGGTTGCAGTCAGAGCAGGTAAAACATAAAGCAAATTCCCCACCTGAAAGTAGAAGACCTAATTCTAAGGCTCCCAAAGCCACAGCCAGCTCAGCCACTGGCCAGTCCAGAGGGCACAGCTCAAGAAGGTACCTGTGTTTTCTACTTGGTGCTTAGTGTGTATGTGTGTGTAAATAGGGTCATGCATTTTTTTGTCCTTTTGGACTTTGATCAAAATCTGAAAAAAAAGGGCAGTGAATGTGGCATTGCAATGCTCTGCTTTTTAGGATTCATAAATCTTCTAAGATGGACTTCTGTGTCTTTTCCACCCTAACAGAAGCGGTCTTACTCTGTCCGTGGCTTCATTTGTATTGCAAGACGACCCAGAGGCTGCAGGAACATCTGAACAAGAGCGACCAGGCCACCAATCTAAGAGTGAAGGCAACCGAGGGCTGAAGCGAAGTGAAGCTCCTGACCAAATAAGTACCTTTGGCCCAACCCCTGCCAAGAAGCCGAAATCACTCCCATCACCCCGAGACAATACCTCAGAGACCAAGAAAGGCCCAGTTAAGTCCAAGAAGAGATCACTTACTTCAGAATTGCCTGCATCGTCAGGTCGAGGCCAGAGCAAGAAGAGTGTGGCCGCTGGGGCCTCGCCAATCCAAAAACGGAAAAAAGCAGACTCTCTCCCCGGTCTTAGTAGCACCGCTGGGTCCCTCCCCAATCGTACCGAGGGCAGAACTGCAAAACCCACCAAGCTGGCGTCTAAATCGGCCGCCTCAGCCAAAGCTGGGTGTAGCAACGTGACAGACTCCTCCTCCTCCTCTGCCTCCACCTCTTCCTCTACTACAGGCACCAACAGCACCACCACCCAAGGCGCCCGAGTCAAACAAGGAAAAGACCAGTCCAAGGCACGTCGCTCCCGCTCAGCATCTAGCCCCTCTCCACGCCGTAGTACACGTGACAAAGAGCAGGCCAAAGCTGCCAGCTCTTCAAAATTTGAGTGGGCAGCTCGCTTCAACCCCAAAGTCAATCTGCCAAAACCCAAACTGTCCTTGCCTGGATCATCCAAAACTGAGACCTCCAAACCTGGGCCATCAGGATTACAAGCTAAGCTAGCAAGTAAGTTACATTTACTGTGTACGTCTGCATTATTAGCTCTATGAGGACAGCATTTGTACTTCAGAAATTTTTCTTTCATATTTGTTTTTATATTTTTTCTATTGTTCAGAATAGTTGACTATCACGGAGGGAAGTTGTTTTGTTTTTTTTGTTGTTGTTGTTTTTTTTTTTTAAATAGAGCTCTCCTTTAATTTTTCTTTCCATTGAACTTAATACTATAAAGAGGGTTAGGATTTGGCTTGTGGGTTTATTTTTCTTATTTGTTTGTTTTTATCTTTTGGCACATTGGTCTTTGATATTTGAATTGAGGTGTTATTTTCCAGGGATTAAGTGTTACATCATGAGATACAAAACCTTATTCTGAACTGCTGGGAATAAATGTATTTGTTTTTGTATTAGACATATTCCAGCATAACTGGTAAAGCATACACATGATTTTAACTTCAGATAAAATTGTGCAGAGAAAACATTCAAAAAGGCCCATATGCAGACATTAGTGTAATTCATATATTTATGATTTATAAGTACAGTTGGTGACACTGTAACACAGTGTGTATAAAAAAAGTTTGTGTCTTGACTAGGATGTCTCATGTACACATGTTGAGTGTGGACTGCACAGAGCTGGTTCATATTTCAGGCATAAGTACCAGTAGCCTGAAACCGGAGATGTATAAATACTGGTGGTCATTCAGTTGTCAGTGATTTCACAGGTATGGCAGGCTCAATCAGCAGTAAACAAGACTTTTTGTAACATGGTCTATATCGTGGTAGTCCTGTAAACTTAGTATAGTCAGTTACTGCTCTGTAAATTACTATGAATGCAGATGTTTTGAGTTTTAGCACAGTATACTAAAGCTGGTTCTCTTGCCCCTCCCCCAAAAGAGCAAGTATCTGAAATGGGAAACACATTGCTCCACCTTTGCATGTGTGCTGCAGAAGTTCACAACAGTTTCAGCTATATTGTGGCAAACATGTCTTTAGTTATCATAGAAGAGAGAGAGGTCAGTGTATTATTATTTTTTGTTTTACTTTTTGTGGCTTATCATATCTATAACATGAATTTGCATGAAGTTTTTTCTCCTCAATTGACATTCACAACACAGAACAGCACTTTAAGAGGAAATTCAAGAGGTCAGTAGTTTCAACAACAGTATTAAAAACGGTTATCATGAATATTGGAGCTAACGCTGGCGCACACATTAACGTTAGGTAGACACAAAGAGTCGAGGGTCACAAGGCCAGATAAAGAAGGGCACAATGGATGCCCTTCTTGCTGCGTTTTATTTCAAGTGGGAAGTCAAAAATCCCGTATTCCAAATTTGAATTATCAGCTGGAATACTGCCTCAGTTTGGATTTATATTTCTAAAACTTGGAACAGGCCTGTTAATCTTGACTTAACAATTCAACATGGCAGCAGTGTAGTAAAACTGTAAAACATGTACTCTGTCCTGAACCAGGGCTCTAGACTAACGTTTTGCCATGGTTGCACTGGTGCGCCTAAATTTTTTTTCTTAGGAGCACCAGCACAAAGGTTAGGCGCACCCAAATTTTTCAACCGCATCACTTAACAGCGCAGTTTTACATGTGCACTTATTTGGGGGGTAAATTGCTGTCCATACAGACAATATTCATTTGTAAATGATTAAATAACAATCTTGTGCTTGAAGTGCTTTGGCACTCCTTGGCAATATTGTAGACAATGTTAAACTTGATGGAAGCGCATCTGTAACCGGAAGGTCGCCGGTTCGATCCCTGGGCTCTCTGGCCTGGTCGTTGTGTCCTTGGGCAAGACACTTTACCCTACCGCCTACTGGTGTTGGCCAGAGGGGCCAATGGCGCAGTGGGGAGAGGGGACACTTAGGCTGTGCATTTATCATGACATATAATGTATTTTCTGGATACACTGTGATTTTTCAGCATTCAGAGATTGATGACTCAGTGTCAGAGCACTGGCTATGAATTTCAGACGGATCAGGGTTTAACTTAACAAAAAAGTTATCAATAGTTATTTTCATCTTTTCTTATTACCCATAGCTCTACATCCACTTCTGTCGGGCCTAGGCTACTCACTAGGGCTGGGTATCGTCACTGATTTCTATAATCTATTAGATTCCGATTCACAAGGTTTCGATTCGATTCAATTTTGCCTCAGACAGTCAGGACTGATACTTGTGAGACTTCATCAGAATTGTGAGCATCACAGCAGATGCCTTTGTGTTTTATTCAGTAACTGAGAATAAAACTTCCTGGCCTGGCTTTTTATAGCATATAATCTTAAAAATATTCTGCAGTATTCTCCAATTTTGCATAATTTCTTTAAATTTCTTCAGTATTGGGCAGCAGAAATTAGGCTTTCCTGTCCGAGGACATTTAAGTAAAAATAAAAAAAAAACCCACAGCTGCCGACAGCGCTGTAAACAACGGTAGACTGGTGGGTAATAAGCGAATGAATAATGCCAAAAACAGAGATTTGAGACGGGAAACTGTTCTTAAAAGAGAGAGAGCTGTGCATGAAGTGTGGTGGGTTTTTTTTTTGTTTTTGTTTTTTTGTTACTTGAACAGTTGGTCGCACCAGTGCGACCTAAGATTTTATTTTTTATTTTTTTATTTTTTTTTAGTCACACCATTGAAAAATTTGGGCACATTCTAGAGCCCTGTGAACTGTTGTGTATTTGTGACTCGATTAATAAGTCACATACAGTACTGACAAAACTACCTGTAAGTGCTGCAGGAGTGGTTCGAAGCTAAAGAAAAATGGGCCTTGCATATTATTGCTGCTGGTGTGGTATAGCTTTACCTTGTTAGCAAAACAAAGGCATCTAACTTCCTTGATAAAGTGAACGCAGCTAGTAGCTATGGCTACTAGTACTTAGATACAGGAGCAGCCCCCGCCCCCATGGCACCAAAAATGGCTTTGCGTATCTTCCTGGGTATTGACAAGTTTGAAATTCCAGTATTGTGATAACCATGTTGTGTATATGTAATACAAGTACTACTTAAATGAGGTTTAGCTAATAATTATATTTGGTGAGTTTTTGTGTCCCGGTGATCATCAAAATTTATACTCAGGCTTTCTCTCCAATCATTTTACATAAGGACTTCATTTAACTGCCTCGAGGTGTTGCCAAAATGGCCACAGAGTTGCAAGAGTTGCTTCTAGGAAGACATTGGCTCTAGTATCCAGCTTGTCTGATAGCCTATATAGACCATTTGCACAAATGTATTAGTGAAAATCTGGTATGTCTGGTGAAGTGAGTTTGAACTCAGAGGGGTCAGTGTGGGGTCAGTCTGTTCTAGATGGGTGAAAGGATAGTAACTGAAGTCAGCTCTGTTCCATGGGCTATGGCCCAAATAGAGACCCCTCCTTCGTAGGCTTTGGTGTGTTGGCCCACCAGCTGACCAGAGTTATGTTTGAGGGCAGGGAAGGAATCATGAGCTGGTTCTGTCAAAAGGAAAGTACTTCATCTCTCCTGCCATATCCATATCTGTCCGCCTCTGCTTTTTAATACACAGATTCTGTTACTTTATGCTGTAATGGTGAGTAAGCATGTACAGTGCTGCAGCATGTTTTTGTGTGCTTTTCAGTGCGAAAGAACATTTTGATCATATTAAATTAGTCACGTTACAGCAGCCTGTGTCATAGGACAAGTATGTGCTTTTAGTGAATTACCCCCCTGGAAGACTTACTGAAATAAGTCTGATGGACCTTTTTGTTTGACATGTTGTAAATCAGTAGCAAGTGGGACATGAAGATGAGGTCAAATGAAGTCCAGAAGTCAATTTTTAATGTTTAATTCATTTGGTTTTAACTCTGTTAATATTTATTTTTATGCTACTGAATTATGAGTCACAGACCTAGCATGAAGGTTGTCTTGTCATAGTGCCATAGGTGTTGCTATTAATACTCACTGGTCTGTGGTGCAGGGCTCTACACAGGCAACACCAGTGGGCCTTTACTATAGCATCAGTCTTTGCTTTTATGTGTTGACTGTGTTTTCACAGATTTTTAACCATAAACCTAATGTAGTGGGATGTTTTCTGTTTTCTTCCACAGCCCAAACTTCTTACATGTTTTACTATTGAATAATTAACCCTTTAAAACCGGTCGGAGCGGGCACGCTCTGTTTTGCGTAACTATTTTTAAATCCCGGTAGCACTGCAACCACGTGAGCTAGCGCAATAATTTTTTTTGCATATGAAACCGGAGGAGTTGTACTTACATCTTATGCCATCAGCTTGTCCTAAGTCACAGTTTCCTTCCACATATAGCTTTGCAAAAAGTGCATAAAAAGCGCTTGCAGCAACAAAAACATAATATTCCACAAACACGCTTTGCCGATCCGATCAGCTGTTCATAACACTTCCTACGTTGGAATAGATGTCAGAGCGAACTTTCACGTCCGCCATTACCTGCCCGAAACCGGAAGTGACGTCATTTTC